TCTTGTCTTTAAAAAAATAAAATAAAAAAATGCATGGCTTGATGTTATTATGCTTTCTCTTGGCATCCTAACTAAGGTGCCCCAAACGGGGATTTAGAAATCTTTCACGAGTAGTCCTCAACTTACGATGGTTCATTTCGTGGCCGTTCCAAGTTGCAAGGGTGGCCAAAAACGGGACACGTGGCCATTTTCTGCACTTATGGCCGTCGCAGCCTCCCCAGGGTCACCGGATCCAAATCTGGATGCTTGGCAACTGACTCGTACTTATAACGGTTGTACTACCCTGGGGTCACGTCGTTCCTCTTTTGCGGCCTTCTGGCCAGCAAAGGCAATGGGGGAAACCAGATTTGCTTAACGACTGGGTTCCTAACTTAACGGCTGCAGTGAGTCTCTTAACAATGGTGAAAGGACGTAAAATGGAATGCAGTTCACTTAACAACCGTCCCGCGTAGCAACAGAAACTTTGGGCTCAGTTGCGGTCGTTAAGTCGAGGGCTGCCTGCATGTCATTTTTAAAGAGAAATAAATCAGAATGCTCTGTACAAGGACAGGGCGACATGTTTAAGTGGGCAAATCCTTTCTTTAATTGGTCAAGCTAGACAGTGATCAGGAACTGGAGGAGACTGGGCATTCCCCTGTCTGAGACGGTATAGGTTCTCCTGCTTGAGCAGGGGGCTGGACTAGAAGACCTCCAAGGTCCCTTCCAGCTCTATTCTATTCCATTCCATTCCATTCTGCATTCTATTCTATTCTATTCCATTCTGCATTCTGTTCTATTCTATTCTGCATTCTATTCTATCCCATAATACTATTCTATATATAATTCTATTCTATCCCATAATTCTATTCTATTCTATTCTATATTCTATTCTATTCCATTCTGCATTCTATTCTATTCTATTCTATTCTGCATTCTATTCTATCCCATAATACTATTCTATTTATAATTCTATTCTATCCCAAAATTCTATTCTTTTCTACGCTACTCTATAATTCTATTCTATCCCATAATTCAATTCTATTCTATTCCAATATTTATTCTATTCTACTCTATTCTAATTCTATTCTATTCCATTCTGCATTCTATTCTATTCCATTCCATTCTGCATTCTATTCTATCCCATAATACTATTCTATTTATAATTCTATCCCATAATTCTATTCTATTCTACAATTCTATTCCATCCCATAATTCTATTCTATTCTATTCTATTCTATTCTATTCTATTCTATTCTACTCTACTCTACTCTACTCTGCATTCTATTCCTATTCACTTGAACCCAAAGCTGAAAACAAAGCAAAATGGAAGCTACCCCTCTAGTTCCCTGGTCATCAATGTCTCTGGAGTTGCTCACTCATCCGGGCCAGAGTTATCCCAAAGGTGCTTTTTTTCAGGAGGCAACTGGACTTTCTTGTTTTTTCTTTGAAGACCTTTCGTCTCTCATCCAAGAAGCTGAGTGGATGGTGGGGAATGGAAGGATTGATATTCCGGCCATTTGCATCCTTTTATGAACAGATTGTAGGAACGGACTTTCAGAAAACATGGCCGACTTCAGGAACCATTTTGCGCTTCAAATGGAGACGCAGACAAAACCAGACTCATCCCCGACCGTCTGCGCCCGTCTTCAACAGGGGAGGGACCCAGGGCAGGAAAACATCCTGTAGCCAAGAAGGCTCCCCACCCATTTGCACCGCTCAGGTGACCCTGAGGACACAGACAAGCCTCCAAGTGGCCTCAACGACTCTCTCAAAGGATGCAAATGACCAGCTGTCTGCAAGGACCATAAATCCTTCCATTCCCCGCCATCCGGTCAGAGCGGAAGAAGCTTCTGGGACGAGAAGAGAAACGTCTTCAAAGAAAAACAAGAAAGTCCAGTTGACTTGTGAAAAAAGCAACTTTGGGACTATGCTCTCCTTGCCCAGGTCTATTGCGGCTACTGATCTAGGAAGCTCTTCGTCTGGATTAAGAGAGATTCATCCAGAATAATTGACGGGGCCAAGGATTGTGATTGAGGAGGGAGAACGGGATGAGGAAAAAACTGCCTCCCATCTTTTTTGCAGATATGGAATAACGCACGGGACGTGCAAGTGGTAATTAGTACCCACAGCTCGCTGTCACGAGACATGTCGGACGGGGCTTTCTCCTATCCGCAGGCAGGTTCAAACAACGGAGAGAAACAACGGCGCCCGTCTTACGTCAAAAGGAACACGAAAAGATGCTTCTTTCGAAGGAAAGATGGGGGTCCAGGCAACAGCTGTGTTTTGTTTTGTTTTTTTAAATCGTACTCAGGAGATGCTGCTCCCATACAAAATCCGGGCTCGGGGTTTAGGTGATGGTCTGTCTATATAAAATATTGAATATTTTAGTTTCAACCTGAGCGGCAAAACGCTGCCCTCTTCAGGATGCACAAAATCAGAGCCGGGTTTTTTTTTGTTTGTTTGGAGTGGGGGGAGAAGAAAAAGATGGAAACTCAAATTGGAACAGGGGGTATCCAACAGGGATGTCGCTGCGACAGCGTGATCAAAGCTTAGCTTGTTTTTCGTGTCCTGAGACTGGAAGCAAGGCTTGATGTTTTGGATGTTACTGGCACAGCTCACGGTCACGGTGTGCGCAAGCCGAAGACACACAAAAGCCGTTTCCCAAATCTAAGCCATTTCTTTTTAGCTGACAAGAGTTAAAGATTTAAGTGGGAGACTAGTACAGCTATTTCAGACTCATTTGTCCTCGTCAGCTAGCCACACCCTTTATGGGATTCAAACCAGGGCAGTCTACATGCTAGGCCGTGTATTAACCACCAGGCCACTGGCTCTCTTCCCCTCTTTGTCAGCCGAGTCAAGGGAGTACCGTATTTTCCAGCGTATAGGACGTATAAGACGACCCCTGATTTCGGCGCCAAGTTGCATGCCTAGAAAGTCGTCTTATACGCCGGAAACTACCGTAATTTCAGGCGTATAAGATGACTCGGCATATAAGACGACCCCCGACTTCGGCGCCGATTTGAATGCTCTAGAAAGTCGTCTTATATGCCGGAAAACACGGTATATACAGAAAGAAATATATATATAAATATATATATATTTAATTGAAAATGACGGAGGTGTCAATGAAAACAAAGGGCGCCTGGGCTGGAGAACGCAGAGTCCCAATTGTTCTTTTTAAATCTTGGTGCGGCGTTAAGTCCTTGGGCCAAATCAGGCCTGGGAGATCCGGAGGAGGCGTTAGCAATTGCCAAGCCAGCTTTATTCTTTTGCCAGCCATCCTCCGTGGGGATGGCTGAGCAGAAACCCAAAAGAGACATTTTGACATATCAAACCAGCTTTGGTGGACAGAATCTCAGAAGAACTCTAGGCAACGTCGAGAAAAGAAAGCCAGGCCCCAAATGAATCAGAGCATATTTACCCAAAGAAGGTGAGCCTGGAAAAACAGCTGTTTTTCCCTTCTTCCTCCCATCCTGCAACAGGACATTTCTTCTGCTGTCTGTCAAATACATTGGTCCGGTGGCCAACAGACAGCCCATAGTCTGAGAGCCGGTGTACGACGGGGAAAGCCAACAAGCTGGGATCTTCAGAATGCAAATGCAATTCTCATAAGACTGCCTTGCCCTTGGGCTTGGAAAGGAAGCCAGAAGCTGGGTGGCGAGGGTTCTGGTGGGATGGAAGCCTGACTCAGAACCCGCAAATGGGAGGTGATCCTGGCGTGAAATCTCAGGCATGAGGATGGATGAACAAGCCCAGTACGAAGAGACAAGCTGGGAAACCAGTGGTAGCTTGAAAACGGGGGTAGCAAACAAGGCTCCAGTTTCTGGTGGCGTTTCGGGAAGCATCAGGAGAGTCCCCTTCAAACACTGGTGTGCTTCAGCCTGGAGGGTGCCAAGTATCCCAACATACATCAGGGGAGCGGTGGGTTGCTCTCAACCCTTTGGAAAGGAGCCATCCAAAGGCACTATTTATTGCTCATCGAAACACCCGAGCGAACCGTATGGAGTCAACTCTGTCCGCACGTTTGCTTGCTTCCAGAATAATCACGTTACAAAGCTTCGTCCATCTAGTCCAGTGGTTCTCAACCTTTTTAATGCCGCGGACCCCCAACCGGTTGTAAGTCGAGGACTACTCAACCGGTCGTAAGTCGAGGACTACTCAACTGGTGCAGCACCGTTTGCCGAAGGGGACTTTTGGCGGGCTCAGCAGGGCAGAGGCAGCCTGGACAATTCCTATTGGCTTTTGAAAGCCAATAGAATGAGACTCTATTCAAGAGAGTCTATTCTATTGGCTTTCAAAAGCCAATAGAATAAAAGGGAGTAGCACAGCTAAGGAAAAGGGGGAAAAAATGGCAGACTGCGTTGTTTGGCGACACCCGTGAAATGATCGTTCGACCCCAAATGGGGTCCTGACCCACAGGTTGAGAACCACTGATCTAAGCAGAGAGAGGGAGAGAGAGGGGGGGGGAGAGAGAGAGGGGCAAAGAATCTAGTTTGGTTTTGTGTCCATCTGGGGAACTGTCTCCTTCCACAAAAGATGTGATTGCCCGTCGTTCTGCTCCAAAAATATCACCGAGTGGGACACTTTGAACTCTTTGGCTTCTCCTTCTCCACTGGTGGTTGAGCAAGGGAGCCCCTTTGGAAATGACGCTTGGCGGATCTTCTCTGGTTCTTCTCGAGGACTCTGTTGCCAGCAACTGATGGTGGGTGATGGAGGGAACGTGCGAACGCGAGGCCGCAAGCCAACGTGGACTGCGAGGTTCACAGCAAGCGTTAACAATTGCCAAATTTCCAGTGATCCCTAACAGGACACAATAGTGTTCTATTAGGTAAGATGTAGGATGAATAAGTCAGAGACACCTGAACTCTGAGATCTGGCACTGGGTCCAGCCTCCCACGCTGAGAACAGCTGGGGAAGGATCAAAAAGTCACTTCCCCTAAAATACCACTTTCTGCCCAACTTTACGACTGGAAAGTAGACACGGAGGGGGGGTGATAAATGCATTAGATGTGACGATTAACTTGCTTTAGAGCTTTGATTTTTTTTATTCTGGTCGGTGTAGGTTTTTCCCACCTCCCCCCCAAAAAAAATCTATTTTAAAAGGGATTTCTATTACGTGGCCTTGTGGAGTTCTACCCTGGAGTGCAAACCTTTTAATTTATGAAATGCAGACAAAAGGCTGAAACCCAAACTCAGAGAACCCAGAACTTTATAAAGACCGTTTCTCCCTATCGTGAAAAGGACACATTTCAGGAAATCTGACGGAAATCTGACGTTCGCAGATCAGGAAAAAAACAACAACAATCCTTGTGCAGTTTGGTGAAGATTATAAACTCGTGTGTGTGTGTGTATGGTATGCACATGTATGTATATACACTTGCCTGTGTGTTTTTTTGGGAAGCTTTTTTTGAGAAGAATTATTTTCAGGGAACCTTCCGTTCCCTCCCGTCTCCCTAGAGTTTGGGGAGGGAGCCGGGGGGAGCCAGAAGGATGCCGAAGACGTAAAAAAGTCCCAACAGGAGGTTGAGCTTGGCTGTCCTTTGCGGGATCTTAAGAAAACTTTGGCTCCGGAACTGCCTTTCCAGGGAAAAGGCCATGGGGAGGGTGAGGAGAGGCAGAGCCATGCTGACGGTGTAGCGCGTGGCCAGGACGCAGAAGATGAGGTACGGCAGGAACAGCAAGCTGTTGTAGAGGACGTACGAGAGCGTGGGGCCGATGAGAATGGCCAGGGTGACTATGCCGGCCTGCCGGTCGGACTCCATGTCCCGGGTGTTGTTGCTGTGCAGGATGGCCTCGGTGCTGAGGGCCAGGGGCACGGCGTACAGCAAGGGCGAGATGGACAGGTAGCCCACCTGGAGGGCATAGGCGAACATCACAGCCAGGGGCCCAAAGGTGATCAGGATGACCAGGTCGCCGAGGGCGACGTACTTAAATCCGATGCCTGTAGCAACAACAAGGAGGGGAAGTTAAATGCCTGCAGCAGAGAAGGGACCTGAGGGGTCCTTGGTGCTCTCTGAGCTGGGTGGCTTTCTTGCAGATGTTTCATTACCCAACTAGGTAACATCATCAGGGCTAGAAGGAAGTGGGGGTTGTGGAGGAGAAGAGGAGGAGGAGAAGGAGGAGGAGGACGACGACTATGGGGTCCTTGGTGCTCTCTGAGCTTGGTGGATTTCTTGCAGATATTTCATTACCCAACTAGATAACGTCATCAGGACTAGAAGGAAATGGGGGTTGTGGAGAAGAGGAGGAGAAGGAGGAGGAGGAGGAGGAGGAGGAGGAGGAGGACTGTGTGGGGTCCTTGGTGCTCTCTGAGCTTGGTGGTTTTCTTGCAGACGCTTCATTACCCAACTAGATAACATCATCAGTGCTAGTAAGGAGTGCTGTTTGCTGTCAGTTTATATTCTGATGTCTTGCCTGTCTGTGTGGGTGGGTGGATGGGTGAAGTCTTAGGGATTCCTCACCCACCCAGACAAGCAAGACATCAGAACATAAACTGACAGCAAACAGCACTCCTTACTAGCGCTGATGATGTTATCTAGTTGGGTAATGAAGCGTCTGCAAGGAAACCACCAAGCTCAGAGAGCACCAGCCTGACTGCCATTTGCTCCTTTACTCTTAGGAGCAAAATTTGAGGTTTCTTTCCCATACTGAATTGACTCAAACATATAAGGCCACATAACTCAAATTTCTGGGCATGGTCTAAAATTGAAACGGGCAGCATTTTGACAGGACGCAGATTTTCCCCTCCCTCCCTCCCTCCCTCTCCCGTGTCCCACAGCGTGGAAGGGAGACCACACAGAGAAGCCTGGCTTACCTCCAGTGTAGAGGAAAGAGCTGGAGAGGCCTCCGAAGTAAATCAGGGCCAGGTGTTCCAACTTGAGGGTGGAGAAGCAATAGAGGAAAGCGGCCGAGATGCAACCCAAAGTGTACAGGAAGACCCCAAATCGGACCACATCCTGAGGTTCCAAGATCTGATCCACCAGAGTCCGGTCGTCGCTCTTCTTGTGGTCGATGCCCTTGGAAAAGTCATAGTAGGTGTTCACGAGGTTGCCGGCTCCGTGGACGGCCAAGACAGTGACGGCGCTGCCCACCAGGAGCCCCAGGTCGAGGGTACCCTGGGAGCGGTAAGCCAGGGCGCTCCCCAGAGCCACCGGGGTGAGGGAGGCGCTGAAGCTCCAGGGCCGGAGAGCCAGGACGTATGAGGCACATTTGTGGGGCCAGCTGTGGGACGGGCCTCCTTCTTCGGTTGCCTCGCTGTTCGGTAGGCTTTCCATCCCGATGTTGATCTTCTCCATCTCCTCTTCCATTTCCATGGCTGAACACCCTCCTCTAAGGACAGGGGTGACAGCTGACCTGAGGAAGGAAGGAAGGAAGGAAGGAAGGAAGGAAGGAAGGAAGGAAGGAAGGAAGGAAGGAAGGAAGGAAAGAAAGTTTGTGCAATTGCCAATTTTTTTTAATGGCTTTCCTTCCTCCTTCCCCACTCCACCCCGGAAGATGCTTTAGGGAAGAAAGGAGACACTCTATTGACTACTGTGAATTTGGACCAGGAAAAGTTGGGCAAACAGGGCGAGAAGGAAAAGAGGAACGAGACCCTCCTCAGGTGAAGACGTGCTTTTCAAAGTCAAGGAACTGAACTGAAAGAGCTAAGTGGGGGGGGGGGAGAGCCAAGGAAGCAAGTGGAAAAATTAAGACTATTAAATGATAAACAAAAAAAAAGTATTCTACGTTCGGTTCACCTCTCGGTCAATGACTGAGAAAGAGAGATAGCTTAATAAATACCTAATTTATCTCAATAATTGCTGTAGTATGTGTGAAACTGCGAATCCACAAGGCAACTGAGCGTAAGCCCTTGGTTGCTAATTGCAAGTGATTTAATTGAGTTTGTTAAATAGGTTTGGCAAGGGAGAGAGGGAGAGAGAGAGAGAGAGAAAAAAAGAGAGAGGGAGAGAGGAAGAGAGGGAGAAAGAGAGAGAGGGAGAAAGAGAGAGGGAGAGAGGAAGAGAGGGAGAAAGAGAGAGAGGGAGGGAGGGAGAGAGGGAGAGGGAGAGAGAGAGAGAGAGAGAGAATGAATTTAGAATTCTTTATTGGCCAGGTGTGATTGGACACACAAGGAATGTCTCCAGTGTATAAGCTCTCCGTGCCACAAATGGTAAATCACAATTATAATTATAAAAAAACCCATTCATCATAAATCATAAGATACAACAACACTCATTGATAGTTATTGGATATTAAATAAGCAAACAGCATAAATCCTAATAAGATACTAAATAAAACAATATAAATCATAAGACACAAAGTTATAGTCGTAAGAAGACAAGGAGTTAGGCAATAGGAAAAATGAGAAGAATAATAGTATCACAGCCCTACTACCGGTAGGTACTTTGACGGTGTTGTGGGAATTAGTTGTTTAGCAGGTGATGGCATGGGGGGGGGGGGGAAACTGTCCTTGTGTAGACTTGTGTTCCTTCGTTGACCCTTAGGGGAGTGAAATAGCTACCTTGCTCGTTCAGATTTCACCCCCTTTAAGAGGTGGTCCCCAAAATGGCCTCCCCCTAAAGTCTCACTCATGCTCATAAAGCCTTGACTTTGCTCAAGGCCAAGAAAGTCAACTCAAGGGTGTAGCAGTCTCTTTCACCCTGAATGCTGCTCTGAGATGGGTGATATGCTGCACGGCTCCTGCATGCTTCAAGAATTCCAAGTGGATGGAGAAAAAAGAAAGAAAGAAAAATAAACATAAAGGGGTCTCTCAGCCCTCCTTTCCCAGTAAGGAACGTCAGAGAAACCCAGATAATGTCTTTTTCAAAATAGTTAAGGGCTTTCCAAAAGCAGTAGTACTACAATTCCCAGCAGCCACTCAGCACAGCTAATGGAGAGGAATGAGATAATTCAACAGTAACAAGAAGGCTACTGATCTTTCCCCCCCCCCTCCCATGGAAACTCAACCAGCTTTGGACTCGACAACTTGATTCAGTACGAAGAATTTTCTGACCAAAGATTTTTTAAAAAGTACATATTTCCCCTTAAAAAAAAAAAAAACCTCGTATAAGAAAGAGAGACAAGCAAGCTGATACTCAATGCTGGGGACCACTTCAACTCTTTCACCACTAGCCATGCTGGCTAGGAGGATGGGAGTTGAAGATCAAAACCTTTAAAGGCCACTGCGGTCTTCTGGACCAGAAGCGGCGCTCCCAAATCCCAAACAGGAGCCCCAGCAACCTTACCTGGAAGCGCTGCAATCTATTCTGTGCAGATCAGACGTTTTCTCCGGAGCTGTGGAGGTGGGAAAAAGGCTCTCAGCAAGTTGAAATTAGCAGCCCTGGATTATGTAGATCAACAGGCTCTGTATCAGAAGCTAGACACTGTCTAATAGTACAGCTGGATCATGTAATCAGGAGTATTCTTAACTGCAAATCTGGGAGAAACACGGTGAGGAAGAACCGGATAGGTTAGTGGCAAGGATCCAACTGGATGGACTAATTCCAAGTGTCATCTGAGGCTGGCTGAGTTGCAGCTAAGGCACCCTCCCAACGAGAAGGCAGATTGCTTTTTCCTCACCTCCGCTGGCATGCTGCTGTTCAATGGCTTGGTAATATATAAATAAACCCCCCTACAAAGTCAGCATTTCTCAAAAAGTGGTGTAAAGAAAACCAGCCATTAAAAAAAAAAACCTCCATCCCAAAGGGTGTGTTTGTGCGTGGAAGGGCCACCTGGTGAAATGAAACAGCTAAGCCAGTGGTTCTCAACCTTTTTAATGCCACGACCTCCAACCGGTCGTAAGTCGAGGACTACCCAACCGGTCGTAAGTCGAAGACTACTCAACTGGTGCAGCAGAATGGGACTTTTGGCGGGCTCAGCAGGGCAGAGACAGCCTGGACAATTCCTATTGGCTTTGGAAAGCCAATGGAATTAGACTCTATTCAAGAGAGTCTATTCTATTGGCTTTCAAAAGCCAAGAGAATAAAAGGGAAGAGCACAGCTAAGGAAAAGGGGGGGAAAAATGGCGGACTGCATTGTTTGGGGACCCCCGTGAAATGGTCGTTTGACCCCAAATGGGGTCCCGACCCACAGGAGGAGAACCACTGAGCTAAGCTGACACTTTTAAGTCAAGGATCACCTCTGTTGTTATCCTTTTCCTCTTCTTTACTCCCCACTCTTAGTGGCACAATTTTATTTATAATTAATGTATAGCCATATTATAATTAATCATAATGATATTATGATCATTATTACTCTGTTGCTTTGCATTTACCTTGAGAGCTTCTGACCGGAGGCAAATTCCTTGTGTGTAATCACACTTGGCCCAATAAAGTTTCCTATTCCTATTCTTCAAAGCACCTGAAGGCAGGACAAGAAACAATGGATGGAAATTAATGAAAGGAGAGAAGCAACCTGGAATTAAGGAGAAACTTCCCGACAGTGAGAACAATTATCCAATGGAACAACTTGCCGCCACAAGTTGCTCCAACACTGGAAGTTTTTAAAGAAGAGATTGGACAACCATTTGTCTGAAATGCTATAGGGGGTTGGACTAGAAGACCTCCAAGGTCCCTCCCAGCTCTGTTATTCATGTTCTATGCAGCCAAATCGTCTCCAGCAATGCTGTCAAAAAGAAAGAAGAGGGCTGCTCCATCATTGGAGGCTTTTAAGAAGAGACTGGACAGCCACTTGTCTGGAATGGTGTAGGGTCTCCGGCCTCAGCAAGAGGTTGGACTAGATGACCTTCAAAGTCCCTTCCAACTGTGTTATTCTATTCTATTGTATTCTATTTCTTATTCTATTTTCAATTTTATTCTATTTCCAATTTTATTCCATTTCCTACTCTATTCCCTATTCTATTCCATTTCCTGTTCTATTCCATTCCATTCCCTATTCTATTTTATTCTATTTTCAATTTTATTCTATTTCCAATTTTATTCTATTTCCTACTCTATTCCCTATTCTATTCCATTTCCTGTTCTATTCCATTCCTTATTCTATTTTATTCTATTCCATTCCCTGTTCTATTCCATTTCCTGTTCTATTCCATTCCCTATTCTATTTTATTCTATTCCCTATTCTATTCCATTCCCTGTTCTATTCCATTTCCTGTTCTATTCCATTCCTTATTCTATTTTATTCTATTTCCAATTTTATTCTATTTCCTACTCTATTCCCTATTCTATTCCATTCCCTGTTCGATTCCATTCCGTATTCTTTTATTCTATTTCCTATTTTATTCTATTTCCAATTTTATTCTATTTCCTATTCTATTCCCTATTCTATTCCATTTCCTGTTCTATTCTATTCCCTATTCTATTTTACTCTATTTCCTATTTTATTCTATCTCCTATTTTATTTTATTCCCTTTTATTTTATTCTATTCTATTCCCTATTTTATTCTATTCTATATTCTATTCTATTCTATTTCTTATTCTATTCTATTTCCTGATTTTTTTGGGGGGGGGGTCCCGGGAGCACCTCCTCTTCATCCTCCTCCTGAGGCGAGGGAAGGGCTGGGGAGGCCCACCCCAGGGCCTCCCCGCGGCCCAAAGCCGGCTGGGGACGATGGGGCTTGGGCTCCGAGGCCGGGCGCGTCTCCTCAGGGGACTCACCAGGCGGGACGGCGCAGCTCTTTCCCCGGGAAACCTCTCCTTGCCGCCTCCGCCCTCTGGCCGGGGAGGGAGGGCCGTGGGCCTCCCAAAGACGCCTGGCGGGAACCCGGGCCCCGCAGCCCGTCGTTCCGCCTCTCCTCAAGGGCAACGGGCTTCTTGCCTTCAGCCTCCGGGAATGAAAAAAAAGGGGGCACTCCCTCCCCAAATGCCTGTTATTTCGACCCCGTGCCGGATGAGGAAAAATAAAACGCATTTACAGAAGGAGGCGGGGGGGGACATAAAGCACGGCGGCGTCTAGTCTATTCAATACGGTAGCGAGGCCTAAGCGTGGCTCGAGTTTCATTTGACGACCGGCACGAAGTGGGCGAGAATCCTATTTCGTTTACACCTGGTGGGGGGGGAAAGGGCCTTCCAACTTGGCCCCCCTCATGACTTGTGGACTTCAATTCCCAGAATTCCTCAGCCAGCATGGAGGCCCTAAGGCCCCCCGTCATGACTGGTGGACTTCAACTCCCAGCATTCCTCAGCCAGCGTGCCAGGCGGAGGAGTTCTGGGAGTTGAAGTCCACCCAGTCGTGAAAAGGCCGAGTTTGAAGATTCCCCGGTTTACACTGTAATTGCTGCCTATGAGGGGAAAAAGACGCATGCGCGCCTCCTTGACCTTCGCGCGAGACGTTGGATTCTTTAACGGGGGAAACTTTTCAGCAACGTACGTTCAACCATAGAGACGGGCGCACGCTGCTTGCACATGCGCAATCTAACGTCGCCTTTAAAGAGGCAGATGGGCGGGCACAACTCTCCTCTCTCTCGGCTTACTGGCTCTTACTATTAATATCGAGCTGAGAGCCCCGCCTTTTTGTGGGCGGGCCAGGAATGGCAAGGAGGTGAAAAGAGACGCGCAAAGGCGGGATCAAGGATCAAGCGCTTGCCGTTGCTATTGGCTAACGCCGTGCTTCAATGCTCGGACAAGGAAGCGGATTGGCTGATTTGCTAGGAAGGCGGGCGAGAAAGGAAAGCAAAACAAAAACCAACTGCAAAGTCTGCCCTTGGTCTAATCTAGGGGGGGACTTTAAGTCTTGTGGACTTCAACTCCCAGAATTCCCCAGCCAGCCATGCTGGCTAAAATAAGAAAAACTGTACCCAGTTCTGATTGGGGGGGGGGGAGAATATTGATATTACATACAAAAATATACAAAAGTATGTTAAGAGGCCAGTTATTTATGATTTGTGATTTAAGAATAGGAAAAACAAATGATTGCTTTTCAATCAACAGCCACATGGGGATGTACCTGTCACCTGATACTACAGGTGTTCATATTAATAAAGGACGTCATATATGTATTTGTAAGTTAACCCATAAAATGCCCAGCTAAAGAGTTCAGAATGTGGTTTTATTTTCTTAAGATGTGTATATATGTATTATTCCCCATGCTGGCTGGGGAATTCTGGGAGTTGGAAGTCCACAGCTTTTAAAAGTGGCCGAAGTTGGGGGACCCCTGTAATTGTGATCGTTCACTTAGACGGAATTATATTACCGACTTCACATTAAAGCGGAAAGAAACAGAATCACATAGAATTAAAAATGAATAAAGTATAATAATAATAATGATGATGAAAAAAATCACTAAAAGCAAACTGATGTGTTTCAATGTTTCCATGTAAACTAGGTACAACGACACCTCCCTCCAAAAGGCGGAAACCAAAACCTTTCGCTGTCTCCCTCGCGCAAAGGAGCAGAGCCCAATTTGAAGCATCCCCAACTTTTCAAACAATACCGCCTCCCCCCCTCCCTGCAACCCTTTGCCCTTAAGTCCCAAATAACTTACATTGCTCTGAGCGGGAACCCAGAAAACGTCCCTTTCCCCCCCCCTGAAAGACGTAAATCCGCGTTGGGGGGGCAGTTTCCGGGCACTCTGCACATGCTCAGAGGCTCTTAGGAGCCTGGCAAAAGAAGATCGGGGAGGGGGGAGCTGCTACAGACCTGTTCTCTCCCCCCCCCTCCAAACACATCCTCCACCCAGTCCCGGTTGCTTTCTAGGCGGAAAGGCTGGGCCGGCTGGGGATGATGGGATGGGAGCTGGGCTGCACCCCTCCAGGGTATGGGGAGAAGGGAGGGGCCTCCAAGCCCTCCCCCCCTCCCCATTCTTCCCTGCGCAGCAATGGGACCTGCCCTCCTGCCTGCCCAGAAGGCGATACCCCGCCCCTCCTCTGGCCACGCCCCCACCGGCCACGCCCCCCGAGATCAGCTGGGCTGCCTGGCATTACGGCGAAGCTACCCATTTCCTTGACCGACCGCCGCAGCCGGGAGCGACCCATGTCCCCCCTGGGCACCCCCGCCTCCTGCTGCTGCTGCTGCCCCCGCCGTCGTCGCCCGCCGCCTTCCCGGACCAGGTGAACCCCGAAGTTAGGGAGCAGCGGGCGGGAAGGGAGGGGAGCAGCCCAGCAGGAAAGGAAAGGAGGCCAAGCGGAGCAGCCCCGGGGGTCTGTTTGCGCTTGCCTCCCCCCCCACCCCTTTGCAACACATGAGCAAGTCATGCAAGCAGTCAGGGCTCCTTCCAGTTGCTCGGACGTTACCCCTGAATTGTATCTGAAGAGGGATGAGAGGGAAGAAAGGAGAGAGAAAAGAGTAAAGGAGGGGAGAAGGAAGTAGGAAGGTTGGAGGAGAAGAGGAGAAGGAAGGAAAGAGGAGAGGAAGAAGAGGGAAGTAGGGAAGAGAAGAAAGGGAGAAAGAAGGGAGAGAAGAAGGAGTGCGGATACGGTGAAAGGGGAAATGGGCGAGCAACACCAAAAGTCACGTGCGTGTATTTATTTCATTTTATTAAAAGTATCTTATATATGAATGTAAAAAGAATGTGTTACACATCTGATAAATATTACGGTATATGTATGGGGGAGAGTTTGGAAAAATAATTTTTTTTAAAAAAAAAAATCAGGGCTCCTTCCAAGCCTGCAGGATGGGGGGGCGAGGCAGCCAGGCCAGATGGCCCTATTTCCCAAAGTTCCTCGCAAGGACCAACGGCGTCTCTGAGCATGTTCAGAGTCACCTGCTTGCCTGTGCCGTGTAGCTTTAGGAGCCAGAGACGGCTTTTTGCCCACTTTTCCCGGTAACAGCCTTCTGTGTCCTCGGGAGCTGAGGGCACTAGTCCTCATGATGTTTGTGGAACCCTTAGTTCTCCGGAAGGGAAGGAGCTGACCCTGCAGGAGCTGCCGGAGGACATCTTGCTGGACGTGCTCTCCTGGGTGCCCAAGCGGGACCTGATCCACCACTGCCGGCTGGTCTGCAAACGGTGGCGGTACCTAGTGGATCTTCCCGTGGTCTGGAAGCGGAAATGCGAGCGGCTCGGCTTCCCCCTGGAGCAGCTGGAGGGCAGCCTTCTGGACTGGAGGGTGTTTTTCTTCAGCCTGAGCAAGAGGAATCTCCTGAGGAACGTTTGCGGAAGAGGTTTGTCCCCGCGGAAGGGCCCTTTGGAGCTGGGTGACGGTTCCCGGAGCCAGCCCCCCCCGAAACATCCATGCAGTTAAACTGACACGCGCCCCTTTAGGAACAGGGAACCCGCTCTGCTTTTATGCAAGACGATGAGTGAGGGTGGAATACTTGCCCCTGAGCAGCTAGCTTTCTGCATGCAGGGAGTTGCTTCAAGGATGCCATTCTTTATTTATTTTTCTTTTATTTTATATACCGCTTTAAGTGCAAGCACTCTCTAAGTGGTGTACACCAGTAAGCAATGTATATATATATTTACATTGCCCCCAACAATCTAGGTCCTCATTTTACCTACCCCGGAAGGATGGAAGGCTGAGTCAACCTTGAGCCGGTGAGATTTGAACCGCTGACCTGCTGAACACAGTCAGCTAAAGTGGCCTGCAGTACTGCACTCTAACTGCTGCGCCACCTCGGCTTCTTTCCTTGACAGTCTACGACAGCGGTTCTCAACCCATGGGTCGCGACCCCATTTGGGGTCGATCGACCATTTCACGGGGGTCGCCAAGCAAGGCTGTCCGCCATTTTTTCCTCCCCTTTTCCACTGGGTGCCTTATCTCCCTTGGGCTGGGACAGCTGGTGGCCCAGCCGGTGGTCGGCCTGCTCCGTCTCTGCCGCTTGCCAGCTACGCCTCGGCCGGTGCATGGGGCGACACCACGCATGTGCAGTGCTCCTGGGCAGGGAAAGTCCTCGACTTACAACCGGTTGGGTAGTCCTTGACTTACGACCGGTTTAGTCCTCTACTTATGACTGGTTTAGTCCTCAACTTACGACCAGTTGGGGGTCACGGCATTAAAAAGGTTGAGAACCACTGGTCTACGAAGCCGTCAGAGGGGAAGGAGAGACGCAGGCGAGAACTGGTGGCAAAACCGGGTGGGCCAATTTTCAACACTTGACGATCTCGTCTTTTTTTTTCTTTTCTTTTCCTGCAGCGGGGCTGAGATATTGGGAACTGCGTCCCGCCGACTGGATGGCCGACTGGATGGCCGAGGATGTCCCGCGAGGATTCAAGAGGCATTTTCTCAAGATATTTAAAAAGAAAAAAAAATCTCCTCTCCCGGATACGGTCTGGACTTGCTTCGTCCCAACCTGGCACCAGGATCGTGGTCTGAGGTATTTTAAACTGGGTTACAGAGTCGGGGGCTCATCCGGGCCTTTGTCCCCGGAATTGGGAGGCTTTGCCCGGTCCCCAGTTTTGGTTAAGGGGCGATTTCCACCCCCCCCTCCAAGTCCAAGCCAGGTTTGTGCAAAGAGTCCGAGGTTGTGTATGTCTGCAGAGGGTGGATTTAGCTCAGGAGCGTCTAGCTGCTGACCCTCTCCGGCTCCAGGGCCTTCCCCCCCCCCACGAGGATGGCCTTTCGGCCTTTTTATCTCTGTTTAGGTTTTTTGTGAAGAAGAGACAACGGATCACTTTGAAGGACAAAGGAATCCCGAACTGGATGATGGACGAAATGAAGCCCAACATCATAGTGAAGGATTGGTGAGTAGATTGCAGAAATAAAATTATTTTTTTTAAAAAAATAAAAGGAGCGGGCGCAAATTGTACGATGACGAAAGGGATTCTCTTTCTTCAAAATGCACCAAATGTTCTCTTGACAACTCTGCTTCCCCAAAGGTTGTATTTTGCTCAAGAAGAAGTAGTTAAGTTTCTAGTCCTTATTGTGTGCCAAATAGGCTCGGGGAGAGGCTGGGTTCTTCTTGCCCAAAGCTCAGAGAGCAAGGATAGCTGGTTAAATGAGATTTTCTATCTTATCGTTTTCGAAGCGGGCTCTCCAGCGTGGGCCACTTTAAAGACCTGTGGACGTGGCTGGCTGGCTGGGGAATTCTGGGAGTTGAAGTCCACGAGTCTTAAAGTAGCCAAGGTTGGAGACTCCTGTTTTAGAGGAGGTAAGTTGTGGCTAGAGGGAGATATATATATTTTTTCTTCCAACATTAGGCTGTCCAAAGAGTTGTTTTTTTATTTTGCCTCATTCAATACGCTCTACATTATTTCAGGCACAACATGGCCTTTTGAGTGCAGGTGGCTGATGCTTGTTGTCTTCTGTCCTGTTTTTCTCCTCTGTAAAAAAAAAAGGTATTTTAATGTTGACAATTCCCACTATCAGTTGACGGTGAAGCTGCTCTCTTGTGATGACCAAGTCCTCCAGGATTGCTGCAAGATGTTTGAAGTCCGAGAACAGGTGCCCACTGTGGAAGAATGGCGGGAGGTAAAATAAAATACGGACATCCCTGGTATAGACCAGGGGTGGACTTCAACTCCCAGAATTCCTCAACCAGGCACCCCTGGTATAGATTCTCCTGCTTGAGCAGGGGGTTGGGCTAGATGACCTCCAAGGTGTCCGTTCCAATTTTTTATGTTCTACCTCAGGGGTCTTCAAACTTGGCCCTTTTATGACTGATGGACTTCAACTCCCAGAATTCCTCAGCCAGGCACCCCTGGTATAGATTCTCCCGCTTGAGCAGGGGGTTGGGCTAGATGACCTCCAAAGGTGTCCCTTCCAACTATGTTCTAACTCAGGGGTCTTCAAACTTGGCCCTTTGATGACTGGTGGACTTCAACTCCCAGAATTCCTTAATCAGTGTGCACGCTGGCTGAGGAATTCGGGGAGTTGGAAGTCCACTAGTCATCAAAGGGTCAAGTTTGAAGACCCCTGGTATCGACTCCCCTGCTTGAACAGGGGGTTGGGCTAGATGACCTCTAGCTCAGGGGTCTTCGTCTGCAGACCCCTGATCTAGCTATTAAAAGTAAATCCCTGGAAACAAAATGTAGATTTGCATTTTACAGCAATTTTTCCCCCTCCCATCCTCCTATTCCCCTCTTCTCCAGACCTAACAACTCCTCCTTTATTTCTCTCCTCTGTAGGTTTCGTACATCTTTGAAAATTACCCGCCTGGAGTGCGCTATGTCGATTTTGAACACAGAGTGGGCTGGCGGTCCGAAGTGAAAGTCACCAACAGCAGCGTTGTCGTTGATTTAGTATGATGGGCAAGGCTAGCCCAAGGCTCTTGATTTGGCACTTTTACGCTTTGATATCAGTTTAGAAGGGAAGGAATTTTCTCTGCTTTAAGTATTCTCCAAAGCTGTGTATGTTACACTTGCACACAAAAACCATGGACGCTGCTGATCATTCTACGGAACAATGGCAATATTTCCAGATCACGGGGAAGAGCAAGCTGAACAAATTATGGAGGCAATTTCCACGTTAAGTTTCCTGTAAAGGTCAGGTGAGACAGTACAAAAATGCTCTTTTGCATACACTCATTCGGTGACCTGAACGCGGGCTTCACAAGCAACGATGGGAGAACAAATATGAAGCTAGAATACACGCAGGCAACAAGGAAAGTTTGATTTTTTTCGTTAAATGCCTTGATTCTGACTTGCTAATTATCCATGTTCACTATTTATCCTTTGCTTTCTTCCCATACTGTTTCTTTTGGGGCAAATTCAGAGGCGGTTTTGGTCTGAAATGTATTTAAAGCAAGCCCTCTGAAGCTCCAGGCCAAACTGTCAAAGGCCTAAAACTCTTATTTTTAGTCTGAACAGCCTAATGGAAGGCTGGTCCTTTTTGGTGGGGTAAAGGATGTAGTTAAACGCGATGTTTAAAAAAATGTGGAAAGAAGCCATATTTTCTTTGGAATTCCCCCTTGCCACGAATGTCTGCCAATTCTCAGTTTCCCGCACTTGAAAACACTTTGTATATGTCTCGTGTCTTTTACTGTCATCTGATGCTTTTGAATTATTTTGTAAAAATTAAAAGTCACTTGGGATTTTTTTTTTTTTTTAAACTGTTCTGGGCTGCTTTTGAATGCCGCCTTTGAATTCTGTGAAAATGGGTATCGAATTAAAGGAGAAAAAAAACTCCTTAGAATGGATGTCTAGACAAAAAAAATAACAATATTTGGATAAATCAGGAACTCTGTATGAGAACTACTGTTTATTTCTGTGCATTAGCTGCCCTGACCGAAGCACCAAGTTTGCACTTTGAAGCTTTTATCGAAAGAGGAAACGGTTAAAGTTGACTCAAGCAACGGCCGCAGAAGGAAGTAATTTTAGATGCCTTTCTCTAAGATGGAAATCATTTTTCTGCTAGACCTCATGAACTTTAGCCTACTGTCTAATCTTCAGAGGTAGACTGTAGTACTGTTAGTCCTCATGTTCATTTAGTGACCGCTTGAAAGTCACAACTGAAAAAAGTGATTTATGACCATTTTTCCTGGCGACTTTTGTAGCATCCCCATGATTACGTGATCAAAATTCGGGTGCTTAGTAACTGATTCCTACTTAACGACCGTTGCTGGGTCCCCAAGTCATGTGATCCCCTTTTTGGCAATCTGACAAGCAAAATCAACGGGGAAGGCAGATTAACTTATTAACTGTGGTGATTTCACTTCGCAGCTCTGGCAAGAAAAAATTGTAAAATGGGGCGAAGCTCGCTTAGCAACAGAACGTTTGGACTCAGTTGTCGTAAGGTGAGGACTCCCCGTACTGTATGGGCGTCCTCTAAGGGCTGAAAGCGATGCAACGAACAGGATCTAAATTTTAATTGCTAGCAAGCAAGCCCAGCTTTATTTTCTGCGTATGTTTGAAAGGACGCTGGTGTGCAAACCAAGTTTTAATGCCCGGAGAAAGTTGGCTGAAGCATCTTCAAACTTTAAAGCAGAGGGTCTGTCTTCCTAAGCTGCTGCTTAGAAGCTCGTTCCCACGTTGCAGCTGTGCAGCCTTTCCTAACTTCCTTGCAAAACCAGAGCAGTCCCTATCGGGTTTCAAAACACACAATAAATCCAAAGTCCATCACAGCTTGCTCTCCAGAGTGCGTCAGCATCCAGGAACCAAACAAACCGGCGGCCTCAAAGGTCCATGTGATAGCAAGCAACATGCCAGTCATTCTATGCAAATGAGCCAGGGAGTTGAAGTCCACAAGTCATCAAAGGGCCAAGTGTGGAGACTCCCCCCCCCCATTTACACCAACAGTGAATGTTTGTACTGCAAGCTTTGCTATCCTGCTTTCCCAAATTGACTGGAGGGGGGGGGCAGCTCATATCAGATGATCATACAGATGTGGAATGGAGGAGTTACGTCCAGCTCAGGGGTCTTCAAACTTGGCCCTTTGATGACTTGTGGACTTCCAACGCAATTCTGGGAGTTGAAGTCCACAAGTCATCAAAGGGCCAAGTTTGAAGACCCCTGGTCCAGCTGCTGAATCCCTCTCCATGCATGCTGCACAGCAAAGCTCTTTTTTTTATGACTGTTTTCACAGCTGCAGGACTGGTTAGGACAAAGCTTGGGAGGGGTGTGTTTGTGTGTGTCTGTTTGTGTGTGTGGGGGGGGAGTGTTGAACTATTTCCCAGCCTCCCTTGCCCAATTCCCATCCCCACCACGGCTAGAAGAGGGGGTCAAGAGGCAGGGGGAGAAGGAAGCGTCCCTAGGCATCCTCCATCCATCCATCCATCCATTTCACTAATGTAGGCTTTCCACTTTTAACATCTGACTCGGCTCACAAGCGGAGACCTACGTTAAAGGTCTGGAATGGTGCCCCGTCGGGAGGCGGTTCGCTGCCTGGTAAATTTCCACAGCATCCGGGAAGCTTTTGGGCCAGGATGGAAGACGGGCATGCGTCACCGAGGGAGCAGCAGACATGCCCACGCCCCCACTGCTATCACCCCCCCCAACTCCATCCCACCCAGCCAGCCTCTTAAAACAGCAAAGCCGGAAACGCCTTCCGCTTCCTCCACCACATCTTTGCAAAGTTGACTTTTAGTTGCAACTGGTTGTTGCTGATTGGGAGCCAGACGGGCGACTTCCTTCCTTGCCTAGCCAGGTAAAAGCCCAGAGACCTTCCCAGCTGAGAGCTGGACTCCCCCCATCCACCCACCCCGCCAGGCAAGCGAGAAGGGAGGCCCTTCTTCATCCAGGACTTGGATCTTCAGGGGTGGAGTCCAAGCAAAAGCCCCTCTCCCCTTCTGCCCAGAGACATCACTTAGGGGGAGGCTGAAGGAAAAGGGGGGGGGTGAGGATGGAGGGACGACTGTTGATAGGGCTGAAAAGGAGCTGCAAGAACATCTGCCTGCTTGGGATTGTTTATCACACCTAGGCGTGGCCCGTTTGGGTGTTTCCTCCCCTCCTGCGTCCATCCCTCTCCAGTCCTCCTTGGCCAAACCATGGCAGGCGCTCAAGAGCTGCCCGATGACATCCTGCTGGCGATCTTCTGCCTGCTCCCCATCAACGAGCTGATCCAGAACTGCCGCCCGGTGTGCTCGCGGTGGCGAGATGTGGTGGACAGCCCTTTCCTCTGGAAGCGCAAGTATCAACAGGACGATGCCGCACTGAGGATGCCAAAGACCTTCTACATTTTCTGCCACATGGAGAAGAACCTCATCAAGAACCCTTGTGGTGATGGTGAGTCCCCTCTTCAGCTGGGGAGCGGGTAGCGAAGGTCACACTGGGGGACTGAGATGGCTTCCGAAGACCAAGGGCTGTGAGGTATCTGGTCTAGCAGAAGGCCAAAGGCCACCCTGGGTGGCTGAAAAGTCTGAGGAACTCTCTTTTCTTCTCCCAAAGGTGCTTTTTTCCCAAGAGGCAACTGGACTCCTTGTTCTTCTTTGAAGACGTTTCGCTTCTCACCCAAGCAGCTTCCTCAGCTCTGACTGGATGGAGGGGAAATGGAAAGACTGATATTCCTTGCAGTCAGCTGGTCATTTGCACTGTTTTGGAGCGTCGTTGAGGCCACTTGGAGGCTTGTCTGTGTCCGATGTAGTGCAAATGGGCGTGGAGCCTTCTTGGAACTGATGAACAGTCCTCTCTCGACAGAGGGGGAGGGAGACGACATCATCTATCTCCAGTCTACAGCACGGTCCTTTCAGCACGGTCCTTTCAGGCCCCCCTCCCATTTGCATCACTCAGGTGACCCTGAGGACACAGTGGCCTCAACGGCTCTCTCAAAGGATGCAAATGACCAGCTGTCTGCAAGGAGTATAAGTCCTTCCATTCCTCACCATCCGGACTGAGCTGAAGAAGCTTCTGGGATGAGAAGCGAAACGTCTTCAAGGAAAAACAAAAAACTCCAGGTGCCTCTTGAAAAAAGGTGTTTTTGGGACACAGTCATGATCTGGTTGAGTGAGAATCTCCATAGAGAGTCTCTTTCCTTCATATTTTTTTTTCCTATCTCTTTCTACAGCTTGGCAGTAGAGTGGGCACGAAGGCTCTAGGGCAGGGGTGTCAAACTCAATTTCATTGAGGGCCGCATCAGCATTGTGGTTGCCCTTGGGGCGGGGTGGGGGGGGCGGCCTACTGGGTGGGCGTGGATGGAGTGGGTGTGGCCTACTGGGTGGGCATGGCCAGCGCTACATCGTTTGCGTCAAAGGTGCCTGTGGGGGCCTGGGCAGGAGTGGGACAGATCTGAGGGTCTCTGGCAGAAGGGGGTGGGACCAGGGCAAGCGCCAAGGCATGGTCCATTTCTTCATTCCTCACAAAGGGTGACACCTCCCCAGCATGCACCCAGGGGGTGGGCAGGGGAGGTGTCTGTTTCCAGACAGCCTTGGGGAGCTAAGACTGAATGCATTTCAGCACAGATGGCCACCACAAAATTGTACATGGGCTCCCGGCCGGCCTGGGCCAGGGCCAAGGCAGCGGGGGCCGTTCCCTCACTGTTTCCAGGATGGCTTCGCGGGCCACATGAAACCACTTCGCGGGCTGCATCCGGCCCCCGGGCCTTGTGTTTGACATGTCTGCTCTAGGGTCAACGTAGGGTTGGGGAGAAAAAAAACCAGTTTTAAACAAAAGCAGTGGCGGCGCTAATAATAATTATAGATCTTTTTAACCATTGGGGATAGCGCTTTTACATTCTGACCGGGTTCTTCTCCCTCTCTGGGGACCGATATGAATTACGTAAATAAAGGCGATATTCATTCCGTCCGGGAATTCTGGACAAGAGCCGCCCAACTGCTTTACCGTTTGACCGTGCACGCACCTCACACTTCCCCGTTTGGATCCGATTTAGCGGAAGGGGTGAATTACAGATCGTGTGCTTTGTAAGCTCAACCTCGACGTCCGAGCTGAAATTCAAATAACCTACAGCTCGTTCCACGAAGCAGCGGCGTCAAGACTTAAAAGAGAAATCAATGTGCAAATGGGGGGACAGGAGCGATGATTCTCCTTTGACTCCCTGTGGCTTTTTCACAGAAGGACTGGACTTTTGGGATACGGCCACGCCTTCAAGTGGGCAGTGGAAAGTTAAAGATGTCTTTGAGAAGGATTTGGCAAGGATCCAGGCCTGGGACTTTCTTCAGAGGAATATTTATATAAAAGATGAATACATACCCTATCAAGACGTTGAAAAATGTTTTGCTGCGTATAACGGGTGAGGATTATAATTACGTTTATTCTGACCTTTCATTGACTGGGAAGGGATCTTAAGTTCTTCCTGTGGGAATTTCTGGTGTTGTGGCATTTGGCAGGCAATAGACTTCCTTCTCTCCAAGTGATGCAAAGGGGAGTTTCGCTTTATAGGAGTTTCTTCCATCTAACCAGACTTTTGATTTTAAGATTATTCAACAGAATAACGCTGCCATTAAAGAAGGATGCTCCCATTAAGATTTAAATCAGGCAGGGTGAATTCTGCTCTGTCCAACCGGGGGGCTCCCAAATGGCTGGTCTACTTTCTCCTGATTTGTTCAGTTCATTTAACGCCATGGCTGAAAAATACTTCCTGTCTTTTACTCCTGTTCAGTGCTTAGGAACTTAAAAAAGCCCGTCTCGCTCAGTTAGACCCCCGCTTTCCTGCCAAGCTATTAACTGGCAAAATTCTCCAACTTCCGGAAATGCAGGAGTATCTTTCTGAATTGTTGTTAATTTCTGCGATAGGCTCTGCACAAAGTCTCAGCTCATCACTCTGAAGGATGAAGGTTACTGGGATCAGCTGATGGATAACGGGAGACCCACCATTGTGGTGAAGGATTGGTAAGGGCCAGAACGTCAGCTCCTGGTGTAAGGGGGCAGGGAACATATGCAACTAGAGCAGTGGTTCTCAACCTTTTTAATGCCGCGACCCCCAACCGGTCGTAAATTGAGGACTACTCAACCGGTCGTAAGTCGAGGATTACTCAACTGGTGCAGCACCATTTGCAGAAGGGGACTTTTGGCGGGCTCAGCAGGGCAGAGACAGCCTGGACAATTCCCATTGGCTTTGGAAAGCCAATAGAATTAGACTCTATTCAAGAGAGTCTATTCTATTGGCTTTCCAAAGCCAATAGAATAAAAGGGAGTAGCACAGCTAAGGAAAAGGGGGAAAAAATGGTGGACTATGTTGTTTGGCAACCCCCATGAAATCGTCGTTCGACCCCAAATGGGGTCCCGATCCACAGGTTGAGAACCACTGAACTATAAAAATATGGGTTTAAGGTGCAGGGTTCCTTGAATCTCTAAGGCCGTGGTGGCGAACCCATGGCATGCATGCCACAGGTAGCACGCAGAGCCCTCTCTGTGGGCATGCGTGGCATCGCCCCAGTCCTAGGCCTTCAGCTGGGTTTTATAAGACCTTTTTGCTTTAGGCCTCTGCCGCCGTGTGCAAAAAAAAAAAAAAAAAAGTTTCAATCAGTCAATTTCAACTTCTCGCAGGAAAAAAAAAAGATCTTGCCAAGTTGGAATTGATTGATTGAACTTTTTAGTCCCACCCAGTCTGCTGTTACTACTGCAGCCATGCCCACCGAATGGGCCACATCCGGCACCCGATGATACCTAAGTGGGTTGGGTTGGGTTGCAGTTTGGGCACTCGGTCTCTAAAAGGTTCACCATCGCTGCTCTAAGGGATCTGGGAGTGTTTAAAGATTCATATATTGAAGTCAACCACAAACACTATGCATGTGATCGCTGTAGTGGGTCAGGCTTCGTTGACGCCAAGTCTGGGATTTCTCCAACGATGGGATTCCCAGCTAGATGCAGCAGAATGCCCTTCCCATCACAACAGCCCAAGACGGCAGGACTTTGGAAGTTCAGCTGAGGCTGCACTAGAAGACAAACAACTGGCTGTCAGGAGGTGGAGAGTCATCTTGACCGGGAAGGGTTCTTAATTCTTCCTGTAGGAATTTGTGTCTTTGGGGCAGTCTAAGAGCCCTGGTGTGGCCCAGTGGTTCGAATGCAGTATTGCAGGCTAATTCTGCCGACTGCCAGCAATTTGATCCTCACCCACCGTCTGGAGTTCGATCCTAACCAGCTCAGGATTGAACTCAGCCTTCCATCCTTCCGAGGTCGGTAAAATGAGGATCCCAGATTGTTGGGGAGCAACAGGCTGACTCTGTAAACTGCTTAGAGAGGGCTGTGAAGCACTTCGAAGCGGTATATAAGTCTAAGGGCTATTGCTATTTCAGAACCAAGTCAAATGGCCGAGGTTGGAGACCAGGAACGCTAGTCAGAATTGGCACCGGAGCTCCTGTCCATTGTATTGTTCAGTCTCCGAGCTGCTGCTCCTGGCCATCCTGGGGCAAGGAGGTGCTGGGTTCAAATCTTTTCTCTTTGCTTTCCCAACAGGTTTTACAGCAGCTTCAACAACCACTACACGTTTTGTGTGAAGCTGCTGTCCGAGGATTTCCAGGTCATTCGAGAGTATCACTCGAAGAACAAATACAAATACGACTCGGAGTACGATGGTGAATGGCGTCAGGTAAGAGAAGGGGACCTCCAGGGATGGCTGCCCTCTTTTCCACCCAGAGCTGAGGTTGGTCTCAAAGCCAACTCATGTTGGCAATCTCTCTCTCTCTCTCTTTCTCTATTTTTTCTCTCCTCTTTTTCTTTTTTTTCTTTCTTTTTCTCTCCTCTCTCTTTCTATTTTTCTCTCTATATATTTTTCTCTTTTCTCTCTTTCTTTCTTTCTTTCTCTCTCTTTCTCTTTCTTTTTCTTCTCTCTCTCTATTTGGCAGGTCTCGCACGCTTTTCATAACGTCCCTCCTGGAATCCGTCACATCTTCTTTCAGCACCAAGGCCAGCATTTCAACTGGCAGCAATCGAGTTGCGGCACCAAGCTCATGAAGTGCTTGAGGATGGCCAAAGAGAGGGGCAAATCGAAAAGAATGAGGATTACCAAAACGAGCGTCACCGTCGGACCGTTCTCCCTAGACAAGGCCATGCACAACAGACACGGCCGAGACATTAGACACTGTCACTACAGTGAGTGTCCCTGTCGGGGGAATCTCATCCATTGGTCTGTATCCAAGAGAAGCTTGAGTGTCCGCTGCTGACCCAGGTTCAAACGTTCTCTGCTCTTCTCTTAGGTTGCACCCGAGAGGGCAGACACAAAAGCACAGGTGTGTCCTTGCCACCTTTTTCTCTCCCCAGAAGTTAAAGTGAAGCAGCGGTACTGAACACAGGGCAAAGTGGGCAGGAGATAATTTATCTGCTTGTCATTCCTCCTAAAACAGAGCATTTTTTTTTAAAGAAAGCACATTCAGAATCCAGACCGTACAACATGATGGACTTTATTGGTCACCCCAAAAAAAGAAAAAAATTAGGCTACCACGAGGCATCGAAACACAAAAATGATTTGTGCCGTTTGCTTGGTATGTCCTTCGTTGGGAAAACCCTTTGCCCTCCGAAGCTTTTGAACATCTCAGCGGCTATTTTTGGGGGGGTCTCCCTCAAGTGCACACGGAATCAGAACGCAAGGAAAGAGAGTGAGGGAACGGGGGGGATATTCTACCAGAGGCTGAATTCCCTTTTCCCTCTGAAATGAGATTATGATTTCTTCTTCCATCCTTGCAAATGTTGTAACATTCAATGTTAGTGCTTTTATTGTCCCTTCAGTTTCCGGGCTGTTATGACAACAGCCCGGATAATAAAATCTTCCACAAGGCTCCTGTTCCTACCGGCTCATCGCTGCTACAACCATCGCCACTCCATGCAATCTTCAAAACATGCTCCAAATGTGGCTTTACAAATTTCAACTGCAGTCTGGCTGGCCTAAGTTTTGGCCAGTCAGGGGAAGTAATGGCTGATTCGTAGGCATTCTGCATTTTCCCCACACCTAAAGCAAGGCGATCTGGGGTCCGGAAATGGCTTGACATTACCTGGCCTTGTCTTGGAGGACGTGTCTTGTAAAGGGAGCCTTCCTTCCCCCCCCCCTCCTCCACAGCTCCCAAAGTTTCAGAAAAGCTTTTCCCTCCACCCTCAAGCTGGAGTCCATCTTTACTCCCCATCACTTCTGGGAAAGATCCCCGGGGAGGTATTTCAGAGCCTAGAGAGGGAGCCAGGAAAAGGGTTGGGCACAAGTCTTCTGTTACCAGAAAGGGCACCTGGAGGAGAAGAGACCCGTCATCAAGCAGTGAAACAATTTGGCTGGGAGTTCCTACACAGTTCCTTTACTTTTGAAGTCCAGCTGAGCTTTCCTTGGGGATTTGTGAGAAAAGTATGGCATACGTGGGAAAGGGGAGGGAAGGAAGGAAGGAAGGAAGGAAGGAAGGAAGGAAGGAAGGAAGGAAGGAAGGAAGGAGATGGGAATGGGAAGGAAGGCAAGAGGGAGGAATGGGAATGAGAACAGGAAGGAAGGAAGGAAGGAAGGAAGGAAGGAAGGAAGGAAGGAAGGAAGGAAGGGAAGGAAGGAAGAAGATGGGAATAGGAAGGAAGGGAGGGAGGGAGGAGATGGGAATAGGAAGAATGGGAAGGGGAAGGAAGGAAGGAAGGAAGGAAGGAAGGAAGGAAGGAAGGAAGGAAGGAAGGAAAGGAAGGATGGGAATGGGAAGCAAGTAAGTAAGCAGGTAAAGGAAGGAAGGAAGGAGATGGGAATAGGAAGGAAGGAAGGGAGGGAGGAGATGAGAATAGGAAGGAAGAATGGGAAGAGGAAGGAAGGAAGGAAGGAAGGAAGGAAGGAAGGAAGGAAGGAAGGAAGGAAGGAAGGAAGGAAGGAAAACTATCCCACTGTCAGCTTGGATAGGAGAGATGCAGCCATGACAGAAGGAAGGAAGGAAGGAAAGGAAGGAATGAAGGAAGGAAGGAAGGAAGGAAGGAAGGAAGGAAGATTATATGAGAGGAGAAAAAGAACATTTTAAAATTCCAAGGTTTTTTTGTTGGCACTCAACAATTCTTTTGGATCTCCAACCGTGAAAAAGAAGTAAACTATCTTCCCTTATGCAGCTGGTAATGAACCCTGGGATTTGTTACGACATGCCAATGACGGAGAGATGGCTTCAACAGGGACGCAGGATCAAGCCTTCTGCAGCAAGGCCGGTCCTATCTTTTTCATTCATCGGTGACATTTAGGGACCGTCATTCCACCCCAGGTCACCAACCTATATTTTACAGATGAACCGGGGGCTGCTGTGGCTCCTGAGACCTGCCGGCAGCTTTTCCGTTCCTATCTGGCTGACACTGTTAGAGGGGCAGAAAAGTCTTTTGGGAAAGATCCAGAAAGGCCTTCCTTAAGTTGGGTGTCAACGCTGCAAATATTGTATATTCTTGCTTTTGACAATATGCCAGTGGTTCTCAACCTTTTTAATGCCGCGACCCCCCCCAACCGGTCGTAAGTCGAGGACTACTCAACCGGTCTTTAAGTCGAGGACTACTCAACTGGTGCAGCACCGTTTGCAGAAGGGGACTTTTGGCGGGCTCAGCAGGGCAGAGACAGCCTGGACAATTCCTATTGGCTTTCGAAAGCCAATAGAATTAGACTCTATTCAAGAGAGTCTATTCTATTGGCTTTCAAAAGCCAGTAGAATAAAAGGGAGTAGCACAGCTAAGGAAAAGGGGGAAAAAAATGGCAGACTGCATTGTTTGGCGACCCCCGTGAAATGGTCGTTCGACCTCAAATGGGGTCCCGACCCACAGGTTGAGAACCACTGCAATATGCAGAATTGTCTGGTAAATATGGGGTTAATAAAGAGCAGAAGGGGCGCTGGGGGTAAAGCCTGGGAAAGAAAGAGGAAGAAAACGTTTGATCTTCACGCTAATTGGATAATGTGATATATGAGGGCTAATTTAGGGAGGGAACATGCTGATAATTTAACTGCTGAGAGGAAGAGAATTTAGATCCTAGCATCCCTCCGTTGTGCCTGTGCCGACATTTTGTAACAATAAAAGACTTTTAGGAAAATAAATGCCTGGAAGTTTTTTGGAACGTTTCATTACAACATTGGGTTCCAATTTATGTTTCAAGAAATGAACAGGACTCCTGGCTACGACTGCAAATCGGCCTCTGCATTTCCGTGCTCGACACACGTAGGACCCTTTAAATTAATTTAGCAATGCTCTTGGCCCCGACAGGCTCAGCATAAGGCAAGAAGGCGAAAGGCCAGGTAACTAACTTCACGTAACCCATCAAGCTGGAACCTGATTAGAAGAACAGAGTAACAGAGTAACAAGAGTTGGAAAAGTCTTCTAAGGAGATCCTACACTATCCAGAACTCAATTCTCTCAATGGGCAAGCCATGGGTCCTTCCCAAAGCTCAGCGGGAAAGCTCCCCACACACTCACCATCCGATGTAGCACTGGCAAAGGTTCTCGTGGGAGGTGGCCTGCTTGATGAGCAGCTCCACCTGGGTGGGCACGTCCAGGGTTTCGTCGTGGGAGAAGTCTCGTCCTTGGCAAGGGGAGAACAAGGGCAGCATTAGAGAACATGGGCCTTTCTCGGCCAGACAGGCAGTGGGGTTGAATGGAAGCAACAACACAAACTGGTAGTCAACTATTCCATCAAAGGGGTCTTCCTGTTCTGGATGGGGGATTTTTTCACACCTTCCAAAACTCGCTCTTTGCCATCAAGTCTTGGTTGACTCTCTCATTTTCTGTTCTGATCTCACATCATCTAAGTCAGGGGTCCCCAACCCTCAGTCTGTGGACCGGCACTGGGCCGCGGCACGCCAGCATCCGGTCCGCACAAACAAGCAAAGCCCCATCCGTGGGATGCAGGCAGCACACAAAACCACGCACCCTCCGGTCCGTGGAAAAATATCTCTCCACGGAGCCGGTTCCCGGTGCCCCAAAGGGTTGGGGACCTCTGATCTAAGTGCAACTATTTTTGACTCGTCTGCTCCTCCCCCCCCTTTCCACTATTGCCCCCCTGGATGACAGCTAAAGGTTGCAAATTCTTTGCGACAGGATCGTCTACAAGGCGATGCGCAATTTACTTACCTGTGAGTTTATCCCGGACTCTGTTGATAATTTGAATAGCTTTCTTATTTAGGGCTTCTGGTTTCACAAGGCCGTCCCCGACTAGATAAGATAAGATAAGATAAGATAAGATAAGATGATAAGATAAGATAACCTTTATTGTCATTTTTTTACTATGGGCACAACAGCACACATCAAAAATGAAATTTAGTTACCCGCTCTCAAAGTGAAACACATATTAAAAAGAAAAAAGTGAGCCATAGTTAAATTGGAAGATCCCGAGTTACCTATTTGCATCGTGGCTAGAATTCTTAAAAGCCAGTTTTCTGGATTCTGATGCAAAGGGGAAATGATCCTATGCGTAACAAGGCTCCTTGGTCCAGTTCTGAACATCCCAACCTTGTATATTAACAAAGCAAAGAGGAACCAGAGAATTTTCTTTAAAAGATAAGGTTTTTTTGGGGGGGGGGGGAAGAAACCCCGAAGCTTTTGAATTGTAGGCCAAAGTGGATCAAGAGGGTTTGGTGATTGTGACTATAACAAATTGTTTTTTTTTTTCTTTTAACGTTAGTTTACTCAAAGGAACTGCAACAGTAAATTGAGGGCAGAATAAGACACTTGTACATGAAAGATACAGTGAGGAATCTGCAACCATGAAACTTCGTGATGGTCCTTAATGCATGTGCTGGTCCAGTATATAGCTAGCTTAGGAAACTGTGTGTAGAGCAAGTAGCATTTTAAGAGTTAAAGTGCTGCCCCTTAAGGGCGGCATTCTGGGAAATGTAGTTTAGTTGTCACATGATTCATATTCTGTCCATTTACGCAGGTAAAAAGAGAATAATTCTCCATCTTCACAAAGCTTACATGTTGCTGGTTGAACTTAGACAAAGAAATTTTAGAGTCTTGGCACATAACAGGAAGTCCCATAATAAAGACACAAGACCCTCCCAGTGGCCAATTCGAACACAGATATAGCCATGTAACAACTAAACTACATTTCCCAGAATGCCACCCTTAAGGGGCGGCACTTTAACCCTTAAAATGCTACTTGCTCTACACACAGTTTCCTAAGCTAGCTATATACTGGACGAGCACAATGCAGATCAACTTTATAAAGTGTGATCATTCATCTTATTATTGTAAGTTGCTTCGTGTCGTACATTTTGAAACCGAGCGTCGATTTTAGAAGCTATTTTTTAAAAAAAAAATGTCTG